AAAGCAATGGAAAAAACATTCTCTGGTGAGAATTATAAATTAAAAAAAGAAAAGAAAGTAAAGACATACTAATAAATCACCCTTGAGTTAAAAAATTATAAATTAAAGTAAAATAATAAAAGACAAAAACATCAAAATTTGCAAAATGCATATAACACTTAAGAGGAAACTTACAGCTTCAAATGCATTTACTTAAAAAGAAGAGAGGCCGGTCCAGGAATGGCTCAGCAGTTGAGCATCGACCTAGGATCCAAAAGATCGTGGTTCGATTCCTGGTCAGGGCACATGCTGAGGTTGCAGCTTGATCCCCAGTAGGGGGCATGCAGGAGGCAGCCAACCAATGACTCTCATCACTGATGTTTCTATCTCTCTCTTCCTCTCTCTGAAATCAATAAAGATTTTTCAAAAATTTTTTTTAAAAAGAGAGAGATACAAACCGGAATGGTTAAAAGGAGGAAATAAAACTCACCATGTGCAGATGATCATCTAGTAGAAACACATAGAATAAACTCACAAATATTAGAACAAATGGAGTTCAGTAAGTGAAGAACACTGTTTACAAAGTAAACAAAAAAACTAGAAGATATTTTCAATGTAAAGCCAACAGAGGACTAATATCTAGATATATAAGGAACTCCTAAAATTCAGTTTTGTTGTGAAAAATGATCATTTTAAAGACACTGGAAGCTATTTTTTTTAAAAAATTAAAAAACTATGTGGGACCCTGGCTGAGTGGTTCAGTTGATTAGCGCATCGACCCAGTAAGTCAAGGCAGTGGGTTGGATCCCCGGTCAGGGCACATTCAGGAATCAGCCAATGAATGCATGAATGGGTGGAACAATAAATCGATGTTTCTTTCTCTTCTCTCCCCTTTCCTCTCTCTCTGAAAAGCAATCAATCAATAAAATATATATAAGGAAAGTCCTTTATAAATAAATAACACATTATGTGGGCCTGTATTTCTGGAGGGCCCCAGAATTAACAGTTTGCAGCCTCAGCTAACTTCATCTAATTACTGGTTCTGATTCTTTTTGAAGATTTTCAGTAATCCTCATGGTTCATGCTTTCAGAACCGGATTTAGAGCGGATTGTTTCTTCACCTGAATATAAACCTAAGTTGCAGAACTTTTTACTTTCCTTGGCAGTGGTTTTAGGTTAAGTGCCTGTGGAATAAAGTAAGGAAGAGAGGGGGACTACTTTAAAAAGAGTGGTATTTAATCTTGTGGTTGTGGGTGGGCATGACTTGTCATTTCAATTTCTTGGGCTCAATTTCTGCCCACTTATATAGCATTGGAATCACAAAAGGAGGACAACTAATTATACATATTCTTCATAAATATTACCATCCAGCCAGACAATCACATCCTTTGCTAAATAGCTTTGGCCGGGTCTGTAACTAACCAACAGCATCCCTTTTCAAACTACTAGTTGGAACTGCCAAGTATGTAAGCAAGACAGTGCACATTTTAAGTAGGAGTTGAGGAGCATCCATCACTAGGTAAAATCATTGCTTCCTAAAGGTTTTGATTGAGTAGACAGATGATGGATTTCAAATCTAAGGCAGTATTTCTCCAAGTGTGGTGGGGCGCCCTCCCATTTTAGAATAACTTGAGGTGCATTGTCAAAATGCACATTTCTGACCCCCCATATTAAAAATTCATAGTCTTTATTCCGACAAGCTCATAGTACTTAGGCCCACTGAAATAATACTTACGCATACTGAAATTTGAGAAACAGTACCCTAATACAGTCTATCAGACAGAATTTTACAACGCTACCTAATAACTGCACGCACACTCAGGGCAACGTGGGCACATCACAGGTTCAACTACTGCTGCAGCGGCGTGACATCGTCCTCTCGTAACCAGCTCCCCACTCCATCTCGCCGGCGGGGGGGCGGAATTATTTCTTCGTCAAAGAAATCCTTATTCACCCACTCCCATCACCTTCCCCACTCCAACCCGCTCTTTTCCGCGAGTTTCCCGCTCTTTGCCCTCCTTTTTCTTGGCCAGAGTCCCTCCACACGAACCCAGCCTCTAATCCGCCCCAAGCCGCCGTCACCCCACACCCCCCGGCTTCTTCTACGCCCCAGGCCCCGGCCTCCACGGAGCCAGCATCCGCTACCGGCTCTCTTCCGCTGTTCAAGGACACCCGCCCCCCGCCCAGCCCTCAACACTCCACGATCACCCTTTTCCACTTCCAATCTCGTCTCAGCTTTGGTTACGAGGCCTGGAAGGTACTCACCATTCCGGCGGTTGCTACCGTCACTGCTCTGGTTGCTAGGGCCCGCCGGGGTCAGTGCGCGTGCGCACTCCTCGGCGTTCTCCGTGGATCCCCACCCCCGCCGCGGTCCTTCCTCTCCGCCCGAGGTGGCGCGAGCGGGGCATTGTGGGACGGCTGGACGGCCGCCTGGGTCCTCCTGCTCCTGCTGCCAGTAGCTCCCCAGTGGCAGCAGAGGGGCTGCTCTGCCGCGCAGGGCTGATAGCTTAACCCGGCAGAGTGGTCAGGGGATGTGCTTTTCCCTACCGAAAGCAGTTTTAGCTAATCTGGACTGATGTACCAGCCTAAAGATTATTTTTTAAAAATATATTTGTATTGATTTCAGAGAGAGGAAGGGAGAGGGAGAGAGACACAGAAACATCAATGATGAGAGTCATCACTGATGGGCTGCCTCCTGCACACCCCCTGCTGGGGATCGAGCCTGCAACCCGGGCATGTGCCTTGACCGAAATCCAACATGGGTCGATGCTCAACGGCTGAGCCACACCGGCTGGGCCTGCCTAAAGTTTAAAACTGTAAAACTTCCCTATGACAATTGCCCTACCCATAAAGGGATTTGTAAAACTCCCTTTTCCCGCAGATTGCCTTTTCAGATCTTCTCTTGGCTACCTGCTGTAATTCACCTGGAGGTCCCACTGAGGATATCCGAAGCTAAACTAAGCCACATTTCTTCAGTTACCTTCCTCCAGGGTGCCAGAGGCAGCTGAAAACATAAAATGTAGATTTCGCATAATCGAGATGTCTTTTTACTCCCAACTTTCATATTAGACAAAAATTGTAAAAAAAAAAAAAATACTCAGAGTTGCTAGGGGTATGGAGAAAAGGGATGCAGTTTATAATTCATAGTCTTTTGGACAGCTATTGGCAGTAAATAAGGAACATCTTCCGACCCGTCAGGAGTATACACATGTTTCTGTGTCCAAATGTTGCTGATCGGTCATGAGATAATGTATATTAATGCATTTATATTAATTTAAGCAATTTTAAACACCTTGCTGACCAAAATAATGGGCAAAGTAGTCAGAGGCACAGTCAATTTCTGGCTCAAAATAGCCAGTCAGCAAAAAGTGTAGAAGAAGAGCCCCAGCCATTGTGGAGCAGTGGTTAGAGTGGTGGCCCACACATCGAAAGGTCTCCGGCTAAATTCCTGATTGTAGGTTCGATCCCTAGCTGCAGTCAGGCATGTTCGGGAAGCAACCAACAGACATGTCTCTCTCACATCGATGTTTCTCTTTCTCTCTCTTCCCCTCCCTCCCTCCCTTCCACTCTCTCTAAAAATCAATGGGAAAAATATCCTTGGGTCAGGGTTAACAAAAAAAATTTTTTTTAAAAGTGTGGACAAAAAAGAGGCCACATTATTCAATCTGACAAGCTCAGGGAAGGCCTGCATGGCAGCCTTACAAACTCAGAGTCTGAAAGTAACCACATAGGATGGTCTGAAATTGAAACTTTCAAACTAAAAGCAGGTAGTGGAAGGTAGTCATGTCCTAGGCTGGTATTTTCCCTGACAAAGGTCAATCTTTACCTCAACCTAGCCTGTCTGGTGTCTTTTTGCAGCTACAATAACATACCTTTGGAGTGACGGTAATTTCCTTTTTTCCCCCAGACTCCTCAGGGCACAACCACTGTACCAGAGAAAAACCCACAAATCCCCTCATTGTTGTTTTTTTTTTTGTTTTTTAATCCTCATTTGAGGATATTTTTCCATTGCTTTTCAGAGAGAGTTGAAGGGGGGGGCACATCCACATGAGAGAGACACATCAATTCGTTGCCTCCCACACATGCCCAGACCGGGGCTGGGGATTGAGCCTGCAGCCAAGGTACTATCGAACCTGGGATCCTTCAGACCCAGATTGAGGGCCAACCTCTAGCCACTGAGCCAAACCGGCTAGGGCAATCCCCTCATTGTTATTGTTATCATGTTAGTTATTGACTGTTAACTATCCTATACCCACAAATGTAGAAGAATATGTGTCTGTTTTACTTTTTATCCAATGCCAGAGATTTCCCTGCTTTGCTTTCTCTCGCCTCCCTAATCTATCAACCAGTGAATTTCACATAATCCCCATAGGTATTGCTCTTTGATTCTGATGTATAAAATAAGTGGTAAAACTGCCATTTTCTGCAGCATTTTCTCAATCTGTTGAGATTTTGTTTCCCGGCAACTGTCAGTTTGGCTTAAATAAATTCATAAAAATTTCTTACAGGTTGGGACATTTTTGACATTGACAAAAGCTTTAAAAACTTTGCACCTTTGTGACTTAGCAGTTCCACTTCTAGGACTTCATCCTGAAGAAATAATCACACAAATGCACACAGACATATGTTCAACGTTTTAATGTTAAAAAGAAAACAACCCAAATGTCAACAAAAGAGAATTGGTATTGTTGAACATCCAAACAATGAAATAATATACTTCCATTAAAAATGTTGCTGAAATGCATCTATTGACATACATAGTCATGATGTGCTAATTTAAAATGCAAGTTACCAAACAAAATGGTGTGATTCTCTTAAAAATTATACATAGCACACACAGATATACATAAGAAAACTTAAAGGATATTATGAGGGTTTAATGTTTCTTACAGACTGAACTGTGTTCCCTCAAAATCCATGTGTTGAAGCCCTAACCCCCAATGTGACTATGTATTTGGAGATAGGGCCTCAGAGGAAGTAATTATGGTTAAAAGAAGCCATGACAGTGTAGCCCTAATCCAATAGGACTGGTATCCTTATAAGAAGAGGAACAGACACCAGAAGTGGTTTGCCCAAAGGAAAGGCCATGTGAGGACACAGTGAGAAGGTGGTCATCAGCAAGCCAAGAAGAGAGGCCTCATCCAAAACCAACCCTTGGCACCTTGATCATGGACTTTCAGCCTCCAGAAATGTGAGAAAATAAATTCTGTTGTTTAAGCTATCCAGTCTGTGGTATTTTGTTATGGCAACCTGAGCAGGCAAATACAATGTTCACTTTACTTGTCTATTTTTCAATTGTTCTATAATGTGGATACTTTAAATTTTAAAATAAGAAATAAATTTCATTTTGAAAGCAGTAACAATCACATTTATAACACTAGGAACAAGTAAAAATTTTATTGGAGAAAAAATGTATATTTATAACATATCCAACTTTTGTTCTTGTGGGGTAGGCAGTTAGACAGACATGGCCAGAGCAAGTACAATGGGCCAGGTACATAAAGTCACCAGAATGGAAAGCCTTGGGTACCTAGCAACATGAAAAATTGGGAAAACAAGGACCTTCCCCCCAGGGTAATCTTTCCTTCCCTAGTATATCCATGGTCATGCGGTTTAAACCCCCTGACCTTTCATATTGCTGATCATGCCATTCAGACCCTCTCCTGACCTTTCCCCCCCTGGCATGTCTATAATCATGCAGTAGACTCCCCTTGGAGGAGGAACAAAGGGCAGAAGACTGGCCTCATGGGATTCCCATGCAGGTCCTTGCTCAACCACTCCCTTAACCCCTAGAGATAACATCTAGGCCTCAGGCATGTTTCTGTTTCAGGCCCAGAAAAGCAGCAAAACCAGAGGAGCAATGCCATGGTTGACATCAGGACCAGCTGTATTGAGTAATGAGCCCCAACCCTGGCACCGACCAATCAGCAGAAACCACAACCCTGAAAGGACACACCTGGAAAGCTGATGACTATTTTATTGGGATCTTCCCCTGAGACCTCCAGACAAATATTCTCCCCACCTCCTCTTCTTACCCTCAGGCATGTTACCTTTAACCATCTCTTTCCTAAGCTCCAAGGGCCCTTCTTTTGCCTCTGTAACTTTTTTCCTAAGCCCACACCCAACTGGCTCACTTTTCCTACCTCTATGACTTTTTAAATAAACTTTCTCTTATAGTTTGAGTCTTAGATCTGAATTCTTTCTTAGCCAGAACAGCAACTGAGGTTGCTGAACTGAGCTCCAATTACCAGTGACGTTGGGTGCTGCTTTGCCACCAACACTTGCAGTGTTTTTTCAGATCTTCACACCTCCACACCTCTCCAAACTAGAATTCTTTCTCTCCTGCCCAAATCTGTTTTTGTTGATGTGGCTGTAATGGGCATCTAATCCTTAAACATATCTCATAATCCAACAGAGGATTCCTTTTACTTAAAACTGCACATTACACAATTAGGAGTTGGTGTTAATGGTAAAATATCATTAATAAATCAATTTTATCTTCATGCTCACTCAGAATATTACTTTTACTTCCTTCTTGTCATGAATATTTTTTATTACCAGTATATAAACTATATACCACTATATAAACAAATTTTCTTGTCTCTGCAAATTAATTCACAATATCCTGATACATTTCCCATCCAGTACATTTTGAGTTTCACATCCTCGAAGGTTAAAAATATTCGCACAGAGCCCTGGCTGGTTTTGCTCAGTGGTTAGAGCATCAGCCTGCGGACTGAAGGGTCCCAGGTTCAATTCCAGCCAAGGGGATGTACCTCAGTTGCAGGCTCCATCCTGATCTGGGTTGGGGTGTGTGTGGGAGGCAACCAATTGATATGTCTCTCTCACATCGATGTTTCTCTCTTTCTCTCTCCCTTCCACTCTCTCTGAAAAGCAATGGAAAAAATGTCCTTGGCTCAGGATTAAAATAAAAAATTCAGACAAGGAAAGAAAAAAGAATTATATAACTTGGATCCTTTCTTTGTTCTTTCAAACCCTGCAAAATGACAAAATAGATTCCAAAAGCTGTTCACCAGAGAGTACGGCTTCGGATCCACTAGCTCTTGTTGCAGACCTGGATAACAGAAGTTGAGAGAAAAGTTAAAATTATTATTAAAACAGTGTCCCAAAATTCAAAAAATCTAGCAGACCTTTTGAAAAGTATATCCGAAATACATAGTTTGAAATGACAGAAAACCAAATATGTTAAGAAGTCTTTAATTTTTAAACAAGAATATGAATTGAATAAAAGAGAAAACAAATTGTCACAGTTAAAGGATTAGCAATTTAGCTAAATAGCTAAAAGTAACATAACTTAAAATTTTTTAAAAACCAGAATTTATCACCTAGTAGAGTCATTAATTCTTAAGGTTATTAAGTCAAGAGGTTTATGAATTCAAATTAGAATGAGCATTGTATCAAATTTCATTAGTCAATTTCACTAAAAAGCCAATTTCTCCCCTATGTTTTTGTTCTGTTTTAAAATAATCCCTTTAAAAATCTTATATAAATAACCCCCAAATCAGGAGGGTGTGTGTGTGTGTGTGTGTGTGTGTGTGTGTGTGTGTGTGTGAAGTATGTATATATACATACATACTTTTTTGTTGATGTTAATAATTTGAAACATCTCCAATTTTTATTTATTTATTTATTTATTTATTTATTTAAATATAACTTTATTGATTTCAGAGAGAGGAAAGGAGAGGGAGAGAGAGAGATAGAAACATCAATGATAAGAGAGTCATTGATCAAGTCTGCAACCCGGGCATGTGCCCTGACCGGGAATCGAACCCCGATCGCCTGGATCCTAGGTCGACGCTCAACCGCTGAGCCACGCCCGGCCGGGCAACATCTCCAATTTTTAAATAATGTTAATTTGGGGGGAACTATTAATACTGTGAATTAGGGTGACAACACTTTATCTTCTGCCAAGAAGAACCCCAAATATAGTTCTGACTACAAGATCCGCAGATCAACTAAAATAAAAGGCTAGTAATTAATACCTTAATTTTCCCCTTCAAGTATGTGAAAAAAAATTATGATGAGGGCCAGAACTTTTAATACCTTCTAATTCTTCACATATTTTAAAGTTTAGAATCAAAACTCTGAACTTCAAATAAGATTATTTTAATAAGTTAAGGCTCACCTAACAAATTGTAATTAAATTTTAGTGACGGTGGTGGAAGGTAGAAGGGATGAGCTCTGTCTTCCCCTCAGATAATTACATTGTTTACATGGGACTAGAACCTGGAATCTGCCTATTTTGAAATATATTTTTGAAACCAAGTGTGAAGAAAAGTCTTTTTAAAAATACAAATACAGAAATAAGGGAACTGTAGAGAATCAAAGTATTTCTCAATAATTGGTTGCCATTTTTAAAGCAGTATCTTAGAATTTATAACTTTTCTTAAAGATCCTAGAATGGGTGGCAACTAGGAAAAAATCAAAATCTGATTAACAGGAAGGATCCTATGAGTTCAGTTGACCACAAATTAGCCTCCAAATTATCTTGTTAAAATTCATTCCAGCCTCTGACTATTAGGAGCAAGTTACCATAGGCCAATTGTTCATCATTGAAAAACCAGGGCCTATATTCATGTATTTATCTTGTTCAAAACAGTTTTAAAACCTCTGGGACAGATATAGCAAACTAATTATCATATACCAGTTTTTTAAAATCCTTGGAAGGGTGGGTAAATGGCAGATTGAAACTGGTTTTCACTTAGCAATTACCTTGAGTTCAAGCTCAAACAAACCAAACGTGGAAAAACATGAATAGTACCAAAGCTGCAGGCTCTGATGAAATTGAAGTGAGTTTTTTTACTTCTTTTAAAAGCCTGCAGATGCCATGAGAAGTCCAGATCTCCGTCTTCATTTGTCAGATATATTCATCTGTCCCCTAATTTGTTCTGAGCATATTCTAAATTTGACTATCTAGTTTGTAAGTCGTTACCCTAGATGCAAGTGCAAAAACTCCAAGATCTTCTTCCAAGACTCAATCTGAGCAATAGCGTGAGCTTTGAGCTGCCCACCTCCCAAAACAGGCACCCCCAATACAGGGTCCAGGGCTGCAGAGAAAAAAGGGCTGTAAGGGGGATCTATTCTGTGGCCGGCATTAGGGTAGCTTAAAAGAGTGAAATTTGTCTTCCCATGCTCTGTGAGGTGCTTCCCAGCTATGTCAGCATACACAGAGCTCTTCCAATGCCTGTCATCCTCTCCAACGATAAAAAGGAAATGGGCACTGGCTTTTTCCAGGGGGATACGGCTTTTCTGATAGGCTGGATCCAAGGGGTCCTCCAGGGCTTCTTTAACATCATATACCCCTGAACTGGTAGCAGAGATTCTGTCCAGGTTAAAAGGCAGTCCTGGCAGGATTAATCCACCACATGTAAGGGCAGTGGCTGTGTTAGAGATGCAGCCATTGATGCTCACAACCGCAGCTATATTTGGGAGAAAGCTAGCCATGGAAAGCGCCAACTCTGCCCCTTTGCCAGAGCCAATCACTCCAATGTTTGGACCTTTGACCTGAAGATGAACAAAAAGAGAAAAAAAAATAAAAGAAAGCATAATAGTTAATGGAATCACAAAAGCCCTCGATATAAAGAAAAATATTTTATATATTTATCAGATAGCTTGCTTATTTGTTTATCCATTTATCCATTAATTCATTCAACAGGTATTTGTTATAGATATCTTCTAACCCATTAGTATCCCTTTCTATATTCACTCTCTCCTAGCACTAATGACTTTATTTTAAACACATTTCTCTCTAGCATCCCACTCACCTTTGGATGACTTTGCACAAATTTAGCTGCCTCCTCAAAGTAATCTAAATTTAAGTCCTTCATGATTGGAGGTAGATCTTCATAGCCAAAAAACGGCAAAGCCAGAGTAGCAAAACCTCGACAAGCCAGGAGACTCGCTCGAGATTCATTTAACCCTCCATCACCGAACATATCAATCAAACCAGGAAAAGGACCATCTCCTATAAACCAGGAAAGGGAATTAAGCTAGAATTAAGTGACAGAACATATAATAAATAGACTATGATATCCAGCTAACATTTCTAAGTCAAATTCTAATTGTATCATTTATCTTTTCTCTTTTTTAAAAACATCTACCTATTTGCTTTGAAAAGAAAACATCTGTTTTGGTTGAAATAGGGTTATTGCTGTGGTTGAAATAGATACTTGTTTGGGCTATTTTGCAAGTGTAAAAATGTTTTTATGTTTTCCCCCATGAGAAATTACTGGGAAATGGAAAAAAATACAAAAATTAATGCCAAAGATATGGAAAGGGTTTTGATTTCAACTGTAAGTCCCAGTAAATCTAAGCAAATAGTTCTGCAGGTTTTGAATTATGAAAGTATAATACCTTATTAAAAAAAAAAAAAAGTATCCCAAGCTGATTTGGCTTAGAGGTTAGAGCGTCAGCCCTCAGACTGAAGGGTCCAGGGTTCAATTCCAGCCAAGGGCACATACCTTGGTTGCAGGCTTGATACCTGGCCCCTGTTGGGGCTCGTGCAGGAAGCAACCAATTGATGTCTCTTTCTCTCCTTTCCACTCTCTCTGAAAAGCAACGGAAAAAATATCCTCAGGTGAGGAATAATTTAAAAAGTTATCCACTTTAAAGGGCCCTTTGACTTTTCAATAAACTTAAGACACAGTGAGAGTCACCAAATCCATAATTTAACAAGGTTTAAACTAATTTAAAGGTTTAATGAAGGTGTAATATAAAGTGAACAATAAGTATAGTAAAATGTCAAACTAATATCTTCTTAATGTAGATCTATTATTTCTGTTTCAACATTCTTATTGGAGATTGTGTTATTTCTTCACCATTCCAAGAGAAGAATTTCTCAGCTGATTGCCCCTTAGTATTTTTCAGAAATATGCTTCTGTGTTTTCCAGTTAAAAGTGCCAGACAAATCTATTAGAAAAGAATAAAAGGAAAGAACATAAAGATGGAAACCAAATTAAGAGATCTAAAAGTCCAGAGCCAGAGGCCAGTTCTAAATTTTCAAATCTAGAAACGAGTTAGGGCTACCAAAGTGAAATCAAGGGTGTACATATCAAGGTAGTGATTTTTACAACGTGATTTTCTTCACCTTCAGATATCTCAGTATATCTTGATCTGCTCTTTTTAAAATTAGATAAATCTCAGTCATTTCTGGATTTAAGATTAGTTCCAGAAAGCCTAAAGCAAACCATGAAAAAGACAACACACAGACGGATTCTCAAATCATTCTGGTAATAGTTTTCCAACCACAGGCTTCAAAATATTAACCTGATTTACCACATTAAAATAACTGAGAATTTATTTATTTTGTTTTAAGTCAGTAATTTAATCCCCAATATGTAAATCTGCTAGGATCTTATTGGCTATTTTTAAAAAGCCCTCACCCCAGCGTTTTACATTTCTCCGGTAAAAGACTCTTAGTTGTTCCTAAGGATCCTGAGGGTGAGAGTAGGGGGTATGCCAGACTGAGTTTTTAAAAAATAAAAACCCTTAATACTCCACTCGTTTCACTTACACAGCCTGTGTTTATGGAGAAGGTCAGAGTTTGGAGCTTAAATAATTTTACCGAACCCTGATTTTGCCATCACCTAAGCTGTGTGATTTGGTTAAAATACTTTAGGCCTCGCTTTCCTCATTTATCATATAAAGAAGTTGTTCTTTGATCTCTGAAATGAGCCACGAAACAGCTTTCTCATCACGGTGAAGGGTGCCCAGGCGGTAAAGAATGTCAGACAACAACGAGAAGTCCCGTTTGGTGGTGGCCGGGAGCTGTTAGAGCGCCCGCCCGGCGGGCCAAGGTTGCGGGTTGCCTCTGTAGCTCCCCGACTGGGGTCAAGCCCACGTCCCAGGAATGCGCCCCGCCCTCCAGACATCCTCTGGGGTGCATGGGATGACGCCCAGCCACCTGAGCCACTCCGGCCGGGCAGCACGCAGACCTTTAAAGCGAGAAGCTTCGCAGCAACCATGCGGAATGCAGCCGGCCCGCGAGGAGCAGCGTCTGCAGCGCCAGGAATTTGGAGGGTGGGCAGATTAAATTTAAATTTAAATCCCAGATGCCACTTCGGGAAATGAAAATCGGCGACAAAGTACAAACATTAAGACACTCGCTTTGTTTTCAGATGACAAATTAGCTAGCAAAGCAATCAGTCAGCTTCCATCAATGCATCCCCCGAAGCCACCGGCAGGCCTGCGGG